CTTCAATGAACGTGTCCATATCGTTCTTCTCACATGGAATGTGCGATGTATCATGGTCAATAGAATTGGTAAAACATAAATAAATCGGTGGTTTTTTAATTTTTTTACCAAGGATTTTTTTTGGTGGTTTCTATTAACCAATGTAAACAGTTCTGGATGAGAAATTAAAGCTAGCACACTCAGGAGCTAACTTTGTCAGACAAGCTCAGACTCACACAAAACTTAGCACGAAGTTGTGTCTAATTAAGATTGACATTCTCTAAAAATTTGAATCAAAAATATTAATCAGAACGTAAGTTATGGCGCTTTTCCATTCTGAAATAAAATAATTAGTGAGATCTCAGCGAGCTGTTACAATTTTAAGAGATAAAAATGGGTAGACTTTTGAGGCCCACCCTGTATTACAACAAAGTAGGTGCGATTATAAACTAATTACACTGGTTATAACATCAGAGGCGTGGAGTTATACGCGAATCTAACTGCATGTATAATACGATTACACCAGTTATTGCACTCGGCTGCGCCTCGTGAAATAACTGCAATAATCGAACTCGGCTTCGCCTCGTGCGATTATTGTATCAATTTCCAATTAATAGTGTAATCGCATAATACGCAGTTAGATTAGCGTATATAATTGCCGGCATATTGATTGTTGATCACTGATCTAGGTCGCACCCATAGTTTTCTGACCCTCAGAACTCAACAATTACAAATGCTATGAAGATCTTTGTATATTTGACTAAATTGTGATCATTCGCTGTTTGTGGGAGAAGTATTTTTAGTTTTATTCGCAGTCAAGATACTCTACATTTAACATTATATACTAGTCTCTGGTTTTTTTATTTGTTTCTATTTGTCGTATTTGTGAAGAATAGGTCAAGCAAGGGAAGAGGAGGACTGTTATTTAGGTCACTATGGATTAATCTGCTTTGGGGTCTTCTTAATGGATGACATTGTACTGAATAGAAGGTAGACACATTTTAATCGACTGTTGTTTAATATTGTAAATCTTAAACAACTTAAATCTTAATTAATCATCTAAACCCTTATCAATATCAGCTGATGATTTATTCCCTACGTAGGATAAAAGAGGTTCATGACTCAATAAGGATACCTCAGCTAAACTGGTATTTAACACACCCCACTGTCGAGACGGAATGATTAAGCTGAGGAAATCATTTGGAAGTTAATACAAAACTAGGAAGCTATGGTGTATAATTGGGAAGCTATATACATTAAATAATGCATTATTTCTAAATTTGATGGATGTTTATAAGTTTATGGAGCTGCGGGATATTGTTAGAGCTCGGATACAAGAAAGCTGGAATTACTCTTGGTCAGAATTTGGGGCCTCTATGGTCTGATGACGGAGAGGTCGTTTTTGCAACCGTACAGCTGAGCAGCGACAAACCTGATTAGACCTCGGCCTTGTAAGGTTTCGATAATTTGTTTGAATGAAGACCGATTATCGTGGATAATCTAATTGGTGCATGCACAAATAAGTATATGGTCGACTTCAGGTCCTACTTTAGAGGGATCGTGGCAAACAATTTACAGCTCGAGAAATTAGTTGCATAAATCGCAGACTTGCTAAGTGGGCCAGATTACAGCAATAATTTGTGGATTTCGAACTCTTTAAGGGGCCATCTACTTAAGATGTCCGCCAAAATCGCAGATTTTCAGACCACCCCCCTCCCCCTATCCGGGTTTGTCCGAATTTTAAAAACCACACCCCTCCCCCGGACGTCCGGATTTCCAGCTACTTTAGAGTACAAATAAAACCAACTTAAATTCATTGTTAATAAAATGTGTAGTTTCTTAAAATAGATAATAATGCATTTCAGCATTTAGTGTCGAACAAGTTTAGCACAGTTACAATTACATGTAAGTATATTTAAGTACTCGTTCAAAATACAGGGATCTAAACTTACAGTTATTAGTGTTAAAGAGTTGAAATAATAATGGGACTTTTTCATTTATAATTCTGCCAAAATTTCCGGACGTCCGGATTTTCAGAAACCACCCCCCTCCCCCTGTCCGGATTTGTCCGAAATTCCAAAACCACCCATTCCCTATTTGCCGGACGTCCTAAGTAGATGGCCCCTAAGTCTTTAATCTCTCGAATCAGATTTAGTGCTGAGAAGATTTATTGCCGAGAAGATTTAGTGCTGAGAAGATTTAGTGCTGATTTTGACATCGGTAGCTCCCTTTAACCGTGAAAGATCGGTTGAATGCTTTGTGATTTTATGAATTAATTTGTATTTATTTGACAAAGTTAAATATTCGATTTCCATGCTGGTATCAGTCGTGACCATCATTTAAAAAATGAATAGTGTGAAGATTTAATATCCTATTGAAAATGATCAATTACCCGACTCAGGTGATCTATTACTGAATTAGGATAATTAGAGGATAACCACAAGGTTTCCTTGCAAAGTTTGACTCTGTAATATGGAAACCATGGAAACCAACCTCCAATCCGACTGTAGAATATCCTCCGAGCCTATTTTTTGTTTAAAGTTTAAAAGTTTATAATAATTTTGAGTGCGTAGCACGAGGGATTATTATGAAAATAACGCCGACGTGATTTAGCACACTGCACGAGCGGTTATTTTAAAATAACCTTAATCACCTTAATCTTCCAGCTTCTCTATCTTCGTAATATTACTTTCAGGACAGTTCAAATTGACTATTCTTAATACCATGCAGTTATGCGATTATTGATCAGATTAACTGAATAACTTAAATCGAAATAAACATTACGTATTATTAAACCAAAAGATGGTGCAAAAGATGGTGCAAGAATCATCGACCATCGCCATTTATCAAATATAACAATGAGGTCTGCAGAATCGGTATTAAAATGGTCATGATATTTAATTATATATAGCACTAGACCCGAAGCTAATTCAGTGCAAGTGCAGATTTGCAATCTTTCGACTTATCACTAATTATCAGCTGATCCTATGGCCTAGGTTTAACGGGGAAAAATTTAGGACATTCCCTCATTTTTTTAGAACGAATAATCAGTGGAGGAGGAGGAATCAGGGAGTGGAGGAGGAGGAATCAGGGATTGGAGGAGGAGGAATCAGGGAGTGGAGGAGGAGGAATCAGGAAGTTGAGGAGGAGGAATCAGAAAGTGGAGGAGGAGGAATCAGGAAGTGGAGGAGGAGGAATCAGGGAGTGGAAATGGAAGGGTCCGCGGTGTTTGATTCTAGATCATGAGGTAGCTATTTCGTTGAATTATCACATCATCGTATCATATCAGTGATGAGATAATTGTATTTTCTTGGATGAAGATGATTTGAGTTAGATTCGTGAAAAAAATAACTGCAAAGAATCATCACCAACGTAATTTGAGGAAACAGAAAGTACATTAATTATCCAAGTAAAATCCATTAATGATATAATCTGATTAATAATATTATGCCATAACTCGACGGCCCAAACAACACATTTAATAATTATTATCTTCAAAGACGAACTGCAGAGAATCATCAACAACGTAGTTTGAGAAAGCAGATTGTAATCTGAATCGTAACATTATGCCATAACTCGATATTTAATTATTTAACATATATATTTACCATATGATAATTAAATATTATCCTTTATTGCTTCATCAACTGCAAGTTGTCCGGACAAGTGATAAGTATTATCATTTAGAAGCATGTTTGTACATTCAAGGAATGAACAAAAATCTTTAAAACCTTATAAATTACTGATTCTACTCAAAACTAAAGAATAAAAGAGGAAACATTTGGCCGGAAAACTTGGCATGCCGATTATAGAGTATCAGTATTTAGGGCTATCCTACAGCCTACTGATCTTTAATAATAAACCTTGACCTTTATAATTTGATCAAAATTCTAAGACTTAATACTTACTTACTTGTAAGTAAGTATTAAATTATTATCTTCTGACTCCAGCTCAATCATTTATTTGTCTTTTCGCAAACATTTGTATTAGAATAAATGGAGCTGATCCGTTTTCAATCAAAATGTTCTCCGTTTTTTTTTGAAGGGAACAAATTTAACTGCACCGCATTACAAACATATAATGATATACTTATTGCTACGAAACTTTAAAAACTGCCCTGACAAAATCTATCCAAATGATCCTGTTACACTTTTATAAGTGACTGGTTAATGACAGTTTTTGTTGAATTATGATTTTTGACCGGTTTTCATGATTCAGTATAAATGTCAGGTAGCCTTCGTAAGGGTTGAATTAATTTAACACTCTGCAATATTAAATGTCATACAAACTACAAAACCTAAAATCGTAAAATGTTGACAAGTTCTTCAGAAGTTATCTAACCGTCTCATGCTATAAAATCCTTTTTTGTTGAACAAGCCGTGCTAATCATTCCTAAATTAAGAATTTTGTGCGTTAGGAATTCCGTACAGGTAACGCACTCAATTCCAACTCGAGATCACATTTCCGTAATACAGTAAAGATAGTAGATTATGGAATTAGACATGCTCTTTAATCGACTCGATGTAAGAGCTGTCGCTGTTGATGGTCTCAACTTTTAAACCAGATCTGACTTATTATTACCAGTTCCCGAGTTGGAATTCTGTTCGCCGCTACAAATTTCATCTTCAGCTATAAGTATAAATTTAAAATCAATCCTCAGCGACAAAGTCTTTATCAATAAGCGATGAATCATTTACTCCGGATGCAATATGTTTTTCAGCGATTATCCATATTAACAATATTCCAAAAGCCTGTTACTGTGTTAACATTCACATTTGATAACTTATTTTACTAGTTGCACCTTCCTTTGTAATAATATAATGCATATTAATATCTTGAAATTAACAAATAAAAGCTGGAATAAGGTAAAAGCATAAAGAAGACAAACCCAACCTATACGTGTGTAAGGTTTTCTTCACAGGTTCCAAAAACAAGAGATTCAATTTGTTTAATCCCCGACCAAAGGAATTTTCTAAAACTTAAAACAGTCAGACTGTGAATGAAAAAGTTGGCCAAAATATTCAGCAAGATAATTGCTGTTGCGAATCTGTAAAAGTGATAATGAAAGAAGCTTATTCGATTGAGACCTGGTTCACTGGTTACTGCAAAAGACATTACGAAGCAGTAAATTGTTAATGGCACGACGGAAACTGTGTACAACACAGCTGTACCAATGGTAGTGATGAGTCCTTGCCACCTTTCTTTACCATTACTCCGTCGAGCAGCTCTTCTAGCTTTGAGTAGATGCATCACAATCAGGCTTGTTGATGTTACAACCAGAACATTAGGTATGACCAGGTTCAGTACGGTTGATATGAGCAGAGAGGATGTGGTGTTCGGGGAGATGAAATCACAGGAGTAGGTCCTCAGGTCGAAACACACGTCCACACCATCTAGGAATGTGATGGGGACATTCCAAGATACCGCCCAGACCACCGCGCATACTTGGTGGGACTTCTCTGGTGTGAGGTATCTGGACCTTATTGGGAACTTTAGAATACTCAGCTTGCTAACTGCCATAGCACATGTCAGGAGCAGGCAAGCTGTTCCAAAGTAATACATCATGTAAGGCTGAATCTGACAGAACTGTTCCCCCAGCACCCATTGATCAGCTATCAGTGAAATAAGTCTGGGGAACACCCAAAAGGTGCACACAGCCATGTCACATACCGCAATGTGCTGCATCACGGCTATGATAAAGTTGTGTAGTCTGAATGCTTTGTACTTTATGGAGGCTATCAAAATGGTCATGTCTCCGATGAAGGAGAAGAAAATAACGAGGAGATAGTAGAGGATCCAGGTGTGCCTGATGACGTCACTCTTCATACCAAATATGGACATGTTTCCATGGATGGAGTGCGTTAACATTGTCTGAGAAATAGAGTTAGATTAGTAATAATCGAGTAATGATAGTCAGTCGTAATTAGGTCGAATAAACAACATTTACAGATGCAGAAAATATCGATGTGGTCTCATGTTGAACCTAGAGAGATCCAAAAGATTTTAATCCACGAATCTACGATCAGGGTTGAAGTTAAAATCTGCTTTGGTTAACAGTGAACCAAGACCCGCGGAGTTCAGAGTATATTGTAGAGGAGAATATGTTCCAGTCGATATACTGAACCTTGTTTCACTTTTAAGATAAACATTATTTACAGACTTATTCCCGGCATATGGATGATATAGGGCGACTTCAGAAAGAGGTGTTTCGAAAGTTTTGATAAAGATATATTTCAAACTATTTACAACTCTACAAATCTATTACATTTAATGAGGACGTTACAGAAGGAATTGATGCAATGTAGTCCGATCTGCAATCAGGAGTCCTAACTCTTGTCACGTCCTATAAAGGGAGGTGTTTCTCTTCTAATTAGGTATATGAAGGAGCAATAACTACAATTATTAGAAATGATAAGCGTACCCCCAGCATATTATTTTTGGGGGTAATTCGGAGTTTTCTGTACAGTGTATACTAATATCTTATTCAAATAATATAAAATTATCAGTGAGGAATGAGGATGACGTCACCTGATGCTATACAGACATGGCTCCTGCATGAATGAACTTACATCATATGTTCCAGCCATGATAGCTTTTACTAATAATGATATCTGCAGTTGAATTATTAAGGTGGGTAGAAAGGTCAGCTGAAATTAAAATTCGACAATACCTTGTATTTGCATAATGACACGTTTGGGATCAATCTACCGTGAATATGATAACGTTGACAACTGCGATAAACGGTTAAAAAATATCGATCATAATTCATAATCGTTTAAAACTTGAATTTATAACATTTTAAGTTTTAACTATTATTCAATAATCATCACCTATAGACAGCATGAGAGTAGGCCCTGCCATCTCGAAGTGATAATGTTTAAGTATTGATCATTATATGTTTGAGGATTCAGGATCGTAATGGATCGAATAAAATCAACATTAATTTCACAAAACGAAGATTTAATATACACTGGCTCTTAAATGATCAGTGTTGATCATAGATTATAATGCAACGAAAACGATTATTCGATTATGATTTGTCGGAAAAAGTAATTGTCGATTGTTTTTATCATTGCTCCGGCCTCCGGTCAACGATACATCGAAAACAAAACAAATTTGTTGTTATTCGATGTTGATCTAAACAAAACGAAAGTTTCGATCGAAAAAGGCGAACACTGCTTGTAATTGTATTGAATGGCCGTAAAACCCTTCACGTTTAACATTTTCATCGATCACAAATCTGTAAATGATCATTAAATTAATCATTGTTGCGTCAAAATTTAATCAATATTGTTTCATCAACGCTCATTATTGATCAACAGCTAGTTCGATCATGATGCATGGTGCGATTGATGCCATTATCATGCAAATTTAATGGCGATGTTAATCCTTTGCAGTTTATATATTTACAATCTCGCCAAATTAAAATCCCTCAAATTACAATCGGCCCAGTGGTGCATCAGTTGTTGGGTCAGTAGTATTTATTAATGGGTGATACTTAGTCTTAAGTACATGCAATATTTTATACCAGTTACTCCGGCTTAAGTATTTATAACCACGATCGAAGATATAATATGACGGAGTGAATCAAATTTGAATCACGTTAACGGGAACCGAACACGATCAGGGCGGAAGACAAAAAGGACAAAAGGTGGAATTTTCCTAAATAGGGTGGACACGACTCACGAGGATGGATCTCATGATGTTTTAATACAATTGTTCAAACACCGTCCCAAATAAAGAACCAGCATGAATAAACTTGTAATATCGCATCATACAATTCGATTTTAACTTTTTCTAATATGTTGACTTTACTACTTTAACATATAACGGTGTAACTCTTAGATTGGGAGCATAAGTACGCCGGTTGGCCGCAGGTAGAACACCGGTATCTTTATCACATTTACCGGTATTCTTCAATTGATTCTAATATAACTTATAGTATAATGCTTTTGGACACGAAGGGAAACACACAACATAAGGCTTGAAATCTTCGTAAAACTATATTATTAGAGCCTGTAAAAACATTTAACTTTAAGATAAGCACGCTATCAAATAAAGATCATAATCATATATAATCATCATAGTTTATTAACTAATAATAATAATAATAGGATTATGGCCACATAGCCATGTCGACAAAACTTGAAACCCAACTGCACTCTACGCTATTGCAGTTCGCACAATATTATCAAAAAGGATTAATTATTTTTAAGACGTTAACATGTAGTTCTGAATTTAACAATCAAGAAACATTGATTCCTCGGTATTTAGCAATCAATGGGTTATTAGACATGAAATGTGCATAAGAATCATGCTCACATGTATTTATTTTTGACATCAAGGTTTCGCTGAGATCCCAGAAGTGACCCTTTGACGATGCTCCACTATCAGTTCATTTTTATAACATTGAAGTCGAGCTTTGAATGCGTCTACTGAACTGGCTTCTTTAACCTAACTTGGTACTTTGTTCCAGTAATTGGCAACACGGTTACTGAGGACCTGATTTCCTCTTTTATCTTTTAGGATCTTGGTACCGCTACGTGATATCCTGAAAAGATCTTGTCCATAGTCCACTTTACCCGTCGTTATTTTAAAGGTTTCAATAAGATCACCCCTCATACGGCGCTCCAGTAGTGTTAACTGGAGGATTCTCAGTCTCTCATCGTATGGTAGGATACCAATCCTGTCGATTATTCGTGTAAATTCTCTCTGGACATCTTCTATCTTCTTAATAGTCCTCCAGTTTCCATGCTCTGCTGGTAGATTCCACACTTGCACAGCGTATTCGATGTGAGGTCGAACTAGTGCTCGTTACTAGCTTAAGATCGTCAGCAAAGAGTGATACGAAGCTCTCAATTCCATCAGGGAGATCATTTTTACTCAAACGTAAAAATTGTAACGAAGGCAAAACTTAATCAGTTACAATTTGTAGCATGTAAGTAATTATGGATAACTAATAGTAATAATATAACAAGCTAACAGAACAGGAAATAAATTAAAAGATTACCTGGCGCACCATTCCCTTCCCTCCCAACGTTTCGCCATTAAGCTCAACATTCTATTTCGCATAATATATACAAAGAAATATATGCGCGAGAGAAGTGAGCAATACAAAAAGCCAGCAAACTTGGTAGAATTTAAGGCTTTAATAAGCCTTAAAGAATGAACATTCTCCAATATTATTGTCCATCAACGGCTTCAAAAAGTAATTTCATTAGGGTCATACTCATAAGCAGCAATATATATTAATGAGATCGCAGCGTCGGCAAAATATGTTTATTCTCAACATATGCCATGTTATCTCCAGCCTGCCCAACAATGCCCAATGGGCATTACCCTTGTGTCTGTGAAGTGAAGGGAAATAAATGCACGCAAAGGGCATGTCCCCAGCATTTCATTTCACCATACCTTCATGGATCGCTTTGCAGTTTACAGTGCTTATCCCTTATAATTATAAACACTGAAACATGGTTAGGTCCTACTGACTATAACTGGGTAAAATTGGAATAAAATAATTTTCATTTTCCGCCGAACGGTGTGTAGTGTACGTACTCACGTACGCTTTGCGTTTTGATAAATGACTTTAGATCGCTATATTAACATGGTTTTTTAGGCATGCCTGTTTGCTGAATATAGCAATTTTGGGTTATTTCATAAATAAGAGCTTATATATTAACATGGCTGTTTTTATTACTGACAACTTTGAATTAGAACATTTGTAACTACAAATAAACCTTCCGAACGACTTAAAGTTAATTAACTTTATAGCAGTATTAACGAAATAAATGAAAGCTGAGTCAAGCTAGGGGTATAATAAATGTCCACGATCGTGCTTGCCTGCAGCACTATGATATAAATGATTACTTATATACTTATAAGGTCCGTTATAATCATAATAATGACAGTATCGATACTTTGCCTCTGTATTATAATTATGGTATGATGGTAGGGGTATTTCTGGGAACACGTTTTTTATTCTGGGAAAGTTTGTAGGGGTCTGACCGTTTGGGGTATGGACTATTCCGGGAAAGTTCGAGACGTGTCATTATAAATTGTAACACTTTAAACAATAACAGATATCTCGCTTTATACTTATAGGCAAGTTTCCACAAATGATTTTTGACAATAACCGATAATAAGTGCTTAATCGCCAATAAACGGTGGGTTTTCGGAATAAGCACTTTTTTAGCGTTAAAAAAGCGCTTATTATCGGTTATTGTCAAAAATCATTTGTGGAAACTTGCCGCTTTATATTAATATATACTTATATAGTAAGATTGCATTGCAATTCCGAGTTTTATTAAGCAGCCAGCATTTGAGCATTTAAAGGCCCCAAGAAAGGAGCGACTAGACACGATTTAAATTTTACCAAGCGTCAGCTTTAAAAGCTGTGGTTGTTGAAAACATGGTATGAGCATTATATATCATGGCAACGCTATAAAATACAGCGATTTAATTAAAAAAACTTGACGCAGTACTCGACCAGCAGCAAAACACGCGATTAAATTAAATACTCGGCTTTAAACCCTTTAAACTTAGGCATCCAATATGACTAATTGCACAACTCTCAGATCAAATATAACTTTGAATATACATGACATTAAAAACGAGCGAAGCTGTTATATAGGTTCTTTTGCGATAGTCAAAACGCGACAACTAGCGACAACTAGCGCTGGATGGCGACAACTAGCGCTGGATGGCGACAACTAGCGCTGGATCCAGCGCTAGTTGTCGCGTTTTGACTATCGCAAAAGAACTGTTATATATCCATATTATGCTAATGTTATTACGTGTTATCATACCTTATCAGACCTTATTCAAACGGATATTATGTGAAC